GAGAGTGTGTGTGTGTGTGAGTGTGAGTGTGAGTGTGTGAGTGAGTGTGTGAGTGAGTGTGTGTGTGTGTATTTTAGCGATGTGCTGTCAATATCTTGCAAAATGACTTCTCAGGGTATTTGGATTCGGTTTTCTTTGCTTGTTTTTTGTATCCAAATGAAAGAATAAAATGTGTGTAGGATTACCCCATCCGCACCGTGGAGGACAGACATAAGCTGGCCGCTCAGGGGAAGTTTGTCACCACAGAGTACGAGCCGTGTTTCGACGCTGCAGACTTCATCAGGGCCGGCACTGATATCTTTGTACAGAGGAGTCAGGTGAGCGTCCTCATCCGCTCTGAGCTCACTGCTCTCTCATGCTCAAGCTCCTGTTGACAGGTTTTTACTGACAGGTTACAAACTTCATGGGCATCGAGTGGATGAGACGTCACCTCGCTCCCACCTACAAGATCCACATCATCTCCTTCAAAGACCCCAACCCCATGCACATCGACGCCACCTTTAACATCATCGGCCCGGGGCTGGTGCTGTCGAACCCGGATCGGCCCTGCAGGCAGGTCAGTGCTGTGCTGCCACCTAGTGTTGATCTGTAGCACTGCAGCGAGACGCTCACATGATGGTGACTCTCTCCTGCAGATCGAGATGTTCAAGAAGGCCGGCTGGACTGTGGTGACTCCTCCAGCTCCTCTTATTCCAGACAGTGAGTACAGCGAGTTCTGACGCGAGTTTGGTGGCAAACTCTTCAGTCAAAGCACAACCTTCAATCACATCAGAGCACCCATCTCTTTAAACACAAGCTTAAATGAAATGTAATGTTCTAAATGCATGTTATAGATGTTATTCTTTACAATTAATCTGTGAGTGTTTAATTTTGTAAAAATGTTTGGATCTTCTCCAGTCTTTTAGTGCTCTTAACACACTTTTGAGAGCCACCACAACAACCGATGCGCAGAATCAAGTCCTGCCCTACATTTTTCTTTTTCAATCACTCGTACAGTCAGGTGTCCGTCACAATACAGAAGAAAAGATCTGACCAGATTTGCAATAACATCATGATCTGATTAATAAAAACAAGTCTGTAGTTCAGATAAATCATGCTGCTATCAGGCCTATGACACACATTCACCACAATAGCAGTTTTTCAACTATAGCAATTCAGTTTAAACACTGAAATACAATAAATCTATATTTATACATTTTGGAGAAATTGAATCTGTTAGAAGCGCTTGAGTTGCTCTGTCTGATATGATTATATTGATACAATGCTCGAAACTGAGTCGAAAATGAACGTCTATTTAAGAAGTCAGAAAGAGCTTTATTGAGTATGTTTGCACATACAAGGAATTTGTTTTGGTGACAGAAGCTTCAGTACACAGACAGGTTGACAAGTGACGAGACACAGATCCCGAGCATCTTACAAATGCAATAATATATTAAAATTGTAATCAGATATTCAAACTACAACATGGAAATGAACAATTTGAATCAAATAATGTTTCAGATTAAATGTGCGTGCATTTAATTGTCCAGAGTCATGTTGTATGTCACTCAGTCACTGCTCTAATAAATGCATATTTCATATTTCATGTGTGTAGGATTACCCCATCCGCACCGTGGAGGACAGACATAAGCTGGCCGCTCAGGGGAAGTTTGTCACCACAGAGTCCGAGCCGTGTTTCGACGCTGCAGACTTCATCAGGGCCGGCACTGATATCTTTGTACAGAGGAGTCAGGTGAGCGTCCTCATCCGCTCTGAGCTCACTGCTCTCTCATGCTCAAGCTCCTGTTGACAGGTTTTTACTGACAGGTTACAAACTTCATGGGCATCGAGTGGATGAGACGTCACCTCGCTCCCACCTACAAGATCCACATCATCTCCTTCAAAGACCCCAACCCCATGCACATCGACGCCACCTTTAACATCATCGGCCCGGGGCTGGTGCTGTCGAACCCGGATCGGCCCTGCAGGCAGGTCAGTGCTGTGCTGCCACCTAGTGTTGATCTGTAGCACTGCAGCGAGACGCTCACATGATGGTGACTCTCTCCTGCAGATCGAGATGTTCAAGAAGGCCGGCTGGACTGTGGTGACTCCTCCAGCTCCTCTTATTCCAGACAGTGAGTACAGCGAGTTCTGACGCGAGTTTGGTGGCAAACTCTTCAGTCAAAGCACAACCTTCAGTCACATCAGAGCACCCAAACATCATTTTGTGAACAATTCATCTGTGCATAAAAAAACTTTTATAATTGTTTAATTAAAGTGTCATAGCTGGATCTTCTCCAGTCATTTAAGGCTCTTAACATACACTTTTCAGAGCCACGCCGTCATCTCAACATCCAATTAGCAACTAATGCACAGAATCAAGTCCCGCCCTACATTTTTCTTTTTCAATAATTGGTTACACTCAGATGTCCGTCACAATGCAGAAGAAAAGATCTGCTGCTATTTCCATTTCATAGTTCACCTTCAATTGCTGCTGGTCCCCATTGACTTGCATACTATGGAAGTCAATGGGGACCAGCAACTGAAGGTGAACTGTCTCTTTACGGACATACAGCAACACAACATGCACCAGATTTGATTAAAATAACTCTGTAGTTCAGATGCCCCGACACATATTCACCACATGAATTATTTTGCAAACCATTTTTCAAATATAGCAATCCAGTTAAAACACTGATATACAATAAATTTAAGACAAACTTTTGTAAAAAGCAAATTACTCTAAATGACCGATTCACATCCTGAGCTGATGTTGCCAACATCTTACAGATGCATTAATAATATATTACAATTTTAATCAGATATTCAAACTACAACATGGAAATGATTTTAAGTAAAATAAATAATGTTTCAAATGAACTGTCATGTTGCGTGTCACCTGATGGCACTCGCTCACTGCTCTAATAAATGCATATTTCATGTTGCATAGATGATGAATGTCCATGTACGAAATATTTGGCTTAACATGAGTGTTTTCCAATCTCAGATCATCCGCTGTGGATGTCGTCCAAATGGCTCTCGATGAACGTGCTGATGCTGGATGAGAAGCGTGTGATGGTGGACGCTAACGAGACGAACATACAGAAGATGTTTGAAAGTCTGGGTGAGAGCGCCGTTCGTTGTGATGAAGCATCCTCCGCTCTGATGTGATTCCTCATTCACCTGCTCTTGTCTGTCGTGGCTCCCGCAGGTATTCAGACCATTCGAGTCAGCATCCGGCACGCTAACTCGCTGGGAGGAGGCTTTCACTGCTGGACGACGGATGTGCGCCGCCGTGGGACGCTCCAGTCGTACTTCCTCTAGCCTGCCAGAGACACGCAGTCCTTATTGAGCTCAGATCAGCATGCTTTGATCGCGCTGTGCATGTCAGGGCTTTTGCAAACGCCACAGATGAACGTGATGAGTACAAACCTCAGTGATCTCAGTAACGACTGCATCTCTGGCCGGCTGTTGTAGGAATGACTGAAGCAGACAGAGCCCCCCCCACACACACACACACCACCACGCCACCACGACCACAGAAGAAGAGTTTCTACCTCCTGTTTACCAAAACCACAAAAAAACATAGCGTATTTTGAATTGTAATGACTTCTTATATAATGCATTTTAATTATAGATCTTTTTTTTACCCTACATGTGATGTGCCAAGTGTTGATTTGTAAACTCAGGTATTTTTGTAGCCATACTTTGTAAGCATTTCATAGAAATGTAAATATCTATATGCATTTTAGTGGCATATACTTTCCCTTCACAAGAGTGTTGTCTAGCCTCTGCCTCTGATGTCGTTCTCTATAGCAGGAGCCAGGAACGTTTGGCTGATTATTCGCGCTGCGCTTGTGCTGTGCTTCTCTAGTTTAACTTGTTGGGTGCGATGGTCCTGTGTCAGGTCAAACCAGTCTAATAAAGATACACTTGGAAACCAGCGTGACGGAGTTCGTTTTGTGCTTTATGAAGCTTTACGATCAAAAGAGCTAAACCAGTAAAGAAGTGAGCCACAACACTCACATATTCACAATCCTCTCGATGTATTTCCAACATATTTTAAATGAGTGATGAAGATTGAGTCGTGCGCTGGAGTCGTGTGTTATTGAGCTGCAAACCTGATTGTGAGTGTGTGTTAATCATTGACCATCTTCACCAAACCGTACATAATAAACACCCATCTGAATAATACGGATCATATGATTTTATTGTGGCTGACATCTGCATCTCCAGCCTAAAACATTTGAATTCATCAGAGCTCATCTTCATTTGCTCTCAAAAAGAAAACAAAAAACTGATGCTTAGCACTTTTCTTTAACACACAAGCACAGTGCTGAAGGTGCATTTATCTTGTTTTCATCCATCATGCTGCTGATGTTTTCCATAACCTGTATTTTTAGTTCATGAAATCCAGATGACAATAGTTCTGCAAAGTTTAAAAAAGGATAAATATCCCAGAGTACAGATTTATCAGAAGAGTTTATTAACTCATTTTTGACACAGCTTTTAGATTCTGTACAAACATGGAGATCTACATAAAGTGCTTAAAAGCCAATAAAGTAACTTGAAGTAATGGACTTGTTGAAAAAATACACGCATGTGGTCTTCTGCTTCATAATTCTGTCCAGCTGTATTTAGCTTTTCTCTCTTTATTCAGTTCCATCACACAAACATCTCAAAGCATGCAGAACAGAACAACAAGAAAACACAAAATGAACACAAACATATATATATATAAAATAAATAAAGAAATACCAGGATTAAAAAAAAGTTTCATATATTTAGGGCAGTTAGATACATTTGAAAAGCTTTAGAATTTGTATTGTTTTTATAAGCTGCTTATTTTGTGATCTCATATTAGAAAGGGTTTCAAAGTATAAGGTCAGTGTTACAAAATGTAATATATGATGGTTTCTTTTGAATGACTTTTGACTTACGTATATAAATCTTTGCTAAGATAATTAACAGAGTAATAATGTAAACCTGTTAAACTGGGTTTTGAGAGTATTTTCCTCACTTCAGTTCTTCACCCGCTTTTAAAGAACCCCCACCCGCGCGCGAGCCCCGCCCCTCTGAGCGCAAGCGGCCGCTCATTGGCTCGCCGCAGCTCATTTGCATTGACGTCATTCGAGGCTGTAGGTCAATCCGTGCGCGTGCTTTTATTGGATCCGCCGCTGTCACATTCGCGCCGCTGATGTTCGCGACGCGCGTTATCCCTCGCCAGGAAACTCGCGACGCGCAAACGCCTCGTCTTCTCTCACCCGGCGGCCGTTCGTCCGTTTTCTTCGTCCGCCCGCGTCAAACAGAGGCAGAATCGTAGGCCCTTGATTGACAGCTGGTCTTTGGCGAGCTCCGCGTTGACGCGCCGCTCCGGAGTTTCATCTAGCGGCCCGTTTGATGTGATAGATGCCGGATCGCGCGTCCCGCGGCGCGTCAGGGCCAGATTGCAGCCTGTTGATGGGGAGCGGAATCAACGCGCCGGTTCGCTCCCAATGACTGACGCTGAGGCCGCGCGGAGCGATCGCGTGTGTTTCGCGCCTGTAGAAGGAGAATAAACGCGCGAATGGACGAAACCGTCGCGTGAACCGAACCGGAGCCAGAATCCGCCAGAACAGAGGCGAAGTTCGCGCCCGCGAGGATGAGGAGTAACGGGCGCCAGTGAAGCGCAGAGGCGGCGGCGGGAGCAGCATGAGCGGAGCTGTTTGATCCAGAGACTCGATCGATCCGATGATCTGACAGAGAAACATTACTATTAGCGCAGAACGAGCGGAGCGTCGCGTCGCGTCCAATGATGGGCTGCGCCTCCAGCATCCACATCTCCGATCGGGTGGTTTATCACAGCGGGAAAGAGTCCGAGGACTCGCCGCAGCAGAACTGCCCTCAGCCGGGCAACATCAAGCCCAGCAGCGCCTGTCAGGTGAGTGTGAGTGTGTGTGTGTGTGTGTGTGACAGTTCTCAAGTCATCACGTAGGCCACTGTATGAGACTTCATTTCTTCTGTGGAGCACAGTGACTGACACACATTTCTCCACAGAAGAAACACAGTCTTGCAGCTTTGTTAATTTCTCCTGGATTTTAACCCTTTCAAGCGGCTTCTGGACGTGTACTGCATCAGGAGCTCAGTGTCTGATTCTGTGTGCTGCGCATACTGAGTGCCACAGCGAATGTTTGGAAACTCATCATGTGTTGGGCTGCTGATAATGTCACACTGACGTGTGTGTTTAGTGCACTTGTGTCTGTCTGTGTTCAGCAGTGGTAGCAGTTATTTGATACAGACTATAGTACGTACTATACTAGAATACCAAATGTCCAAAAACAAAGCCTACTGTTAGCATAGGTACTTTCTGATGAATGTGATGCAGCTGTCAGATCTGAACTGAATGACTGGACATGCATACTAGAGACAGTATGCTAGTATGCATGAGTATAGGGTGAATGAACAGGTGCTTAATAGATCTTTTCACCTGTGTTCATCAGATCAGTTGATGAGTTTTTTTACTCGTATTCACAGTTTTCAGCTTAATTGCTTCATCTGTACCAGCATTCTGTTTTCTACATGCATGTTGTATATGAGCCATTCATCCATGCATGTTTCTTTGTTTAACCATTTTGTGACCTGATTTGTTTTATGCGATCCACAGCAGACTCGCATTCAGAGCAGGCTTCAGTTGTGAGCCACGCCCACATCTCAACATCCAATCAGCTACTAAAGTATAGAACCAAGTCCCGCCCTACAGTTTTTCTTTTCAGTAATCTGTTACAGCATGGAAGAAAAGATTTGGCTTTAATCTTAATATGACTGCAAACTCAAATGAATGAGGTTTATATATATATATATATTTTTTTTAAAGATTTATTTTTGGCATTTTTTGCCTTGATTGATAGGAAAGTGTAGAGTAGACAGGAAGTGAAGCGGGAGAGAGATAGGGGGCGGGATCAGGAAAGGTCCTCGAGCTGGGATTCGAACTCGGGACGCCTTTAACACAACGGCGCTTTATGCTTTACGAAACTTTTTTTTTTTGTTATTGTCAAACTTTTTATTATTTGAGCTGTAAAGTTGTTTAAATTGCAGTTTTTATGTTTTTTTTGTTTTTTTTTACCATTTATGATTTTTTCTTTTCAGTAATCTGTTACAGCATGGAAGAAAAGATTTGGCTTTAATCTTAATATGACTGCAAACTCAAATGAATGAGGTTTATATATATATATATATTTTTTTTAAAGATTTATTTTTGGCATTTTTTGCCTTGATTGATAGGAAAGTGTAGAGTAGACAGGAAGTGAAGCGGGAGAGAGATAGGGGGCGGGATCAGGAAAGGTCCTCGAGCTGGGATTCGAACTCGGGACGCCTTTAACACAACGGCGCTTTATGCTTTACGAAACTTTTTTTTTTTGTTATTGTCAAACTTTTTATTATTTGAGCTGTAAAGTTGTTTAAATTGCAGTTTTTATGTTTTTTTTGTTTTTTTTTTACCATTTATGATGTTCATTGTATAAGGCATGAAATCAGTGTCAAAAAGTCTGTGTGAAAAAAAATCTATATTCAGATAACAGACAATACATTGACAGTTTGCTGTAGAGACTGATGGTGTTTGATAACATGAACAACAAAAAACATGTTCTATTCTAACATCAGATTAGAATCTTCCAAAACTATTGCAGCTGCTGATTCAAATACATGTTTAGAAGAAAATTCTCCATCCTCGTAGTTTAAAGTTCAAAGATGACGATCCATTTGTGAGCATTTAGGTTGCAGTATTTTTGGTGCTAATAATAGTGATGCTGCTGCTAATGATAACGCTCACAGGACACCGCAGGTTCATGCAGATTTACTGTGCTTTAATACACACAGATGCTGCTGCTGATTCATTTACTCTTTCATCAATCAGCTGTTCTGATGGGAGTGTGTGTGTGTGTGTGTGTGTGTGTGTGTGTGTGTGGTAATCAAGGGCGCAGCAGCATCTGTGTGACTTTCTGTCCATGATAAGACTCAAGTACAAGGTCTGATGATGGTTTTCTCATGTCTCTCAACACATTCCTCCTTGTGTATTCATGTATTTGTGTGTGTGTGTGTGTGTGTGTGTGTGTGTGCGGTGCTGATATAGGGTTAGTGGTTTATCTGGCCTTGGCTGAGGCTCCACTGTTCTGCGTTTGCTTCAGAAATCATTCTAATATGCTGATTATTAGAAACATCTCTGATTATGATCAATGTTGAAAACAGTTGTGCTGCTTAATATTTTATTTAATATTTGTGTCCGAGCGCTGGAGTTGGTCAGAAATAGAACGCGGCATCAGTTTACTGTCATGGGTTTGTGTCGCGCCGCATCCACAGCATGTCAAATTAATATTTTGCGCTCAATTATTTACTTATCAGACAAGTGGCCGCATAAGCGGGAACATTACTTTTGAGCAGCAGTGTACATGTACTTACAGTGTACTTACATACTTACCGAAGGAAGTACTGGGTAATATAAGGTAAGTGCACAGGTTAAGGTTAGACTTAGGGGTAGGTTCAGGGTTAGTACCTAGTTATTACTCAGCTATTGTAATTATTTTGAGTGCAGTGTAGTATGTACATGCAGAACAGGGCTAAAATGAAGTGCTACTCAAAGTCTTTTAGAACAGTTTGTCAAACACAGTGCCGTAGAGCAGAGATGTACTGCAGAAATTAGAGACGCGTTTAGCTGTATACGCATACATTTTGTATCGTATAGGCGTTTCGTCCAGACGGATCCGGCGTTTTGGGAGAGTGAAACCGATATTTTTTTGAAACGGGTCCCAGAGTGGATAAATCTGAAAACGCCGCCCTTGTGTTTTCGTGTGGACAGCGAATCCGTATATTTTCTGAAAGGATGACGTCATCAGCCCACATCTCGCCGCTAGTCAGACACCGCTGCGTCACGTAACAGCAACAAAAACATGAACGATTGTCTTTGTATTAA